CTATTCGGTGTGGTCTGTAGTTTTTGAATATTCTATTGTTTTGTATTGTAAACTTGGCTTTGATTGCTATTATACGCCCAAAATCCATAATTGTGTCATTAAAGGTTCAAGGTAAGGATCCTTCGGTTGAGATAACGCAAGATATCGTTGAAGAATCCGAGGATGAGCGCTTCGAAGATATGTCAGACACGGCACCGCCCATAGAGTTGCCCCCATGTGAACTGGCGCGTCTGGAAGAGATTTCCGAGACCATACAGAATTGTTTAACAACACCTTTACGAAAGGAGAAACTTTCCATGGCTTTAGAATCGGAAAACTATATTAAGAAGTTGCTAAATCTGTTCCATGTTTGCGAGGATCTCGACAATACCGAGGGGTTGCATCACCTCTTCGAAATTTTCAAGAACATATTTCTATTAAACAAAAATGCATTGTTCGAAATTATGTTTGCCGAAGATACTATTTTCGATGTGGTTGGCTGCCTAGAATATGATCCGAGTTCCACCCAACCAAAGAAGCATCGTCAGTATTTAAAACAATGGGCCAAGTTCCGCGAAGCAGTACCGATTAAAAATCAAGATCTGCTCGCTAAAATTCACCAAACGTTCCGTGTACAATACATACAAGATATTATATTGCCAACGCCGTCAGTGTTTGTCGAAGACAACATGTTGAACACGCTATCCAGTTTTATATTCTTTAACAAAGTGGAAATCGTAACACTTATACAAGAGGATGAGCGCTTCCTGGTCGATATGTTTACACTTTTAACAGATCCGAGCACCAGCGATGCCAAGCGTCGCGATATTGTGCTATTCCTAAAGGAATTTTGCAACTATGCACAGAACCTACAACCACAGGGCAAAGACTCTTTCTATAAGACACTCACTTGCTTAGGAATATTGCAAGCACTCGAGATCACATTGGTAATGAACGATGAAAAGACGAAGGCAGCTTCAATCGATATACTTACAGCGATTGTGGAGTTCTCACCGTTAGTGGTGCGCAATTACACACTACAGCAGGTCAGCCGCACAGAGGGGGTAAGTTGCTTACATAAAATTATAAGTTATAAATTTAAGCACGCTAATTCACTTATACCTCGTGCTTGTTCTTTGTATTGCATAGGATCGTATGCTGTTGAACATAGCTATTGAACAAATGTTAAGCGATTCAGAGCCAGAGCTTGGAGTTGCAGTGCAATTAATGGGCATTATTAAAATTTTATTGGAGCCAGAAAGTATGCTAACTGAAAAGGCAGACTTTTTGAATTTTTTCTACAAGCATAGCATACAAACGCTGATTGGTAAGTGGAAGGAGCACTCATAATGATTACAACTAAATACAGAGGTAACTAAACTAATTGCTTTCATTTTGTCATGTTGCCCAGCTCCCCTGCTTGTTAACACAATCGGTGATCGTCCAGATAGTGAAGACTACCAAACCGCACAATTGCTTGGCATTGTCTTGGATATATTGTCATTTTGTGTGGAACATCATACTTATCATATTAAAAACTTTATCATACAAAAGGATCTCCTAAAGAGAATACTTGTACTGATGAAAAGCACACATACGTTCCTCGTACTTGGCGCACTTAGACTTTTAAGGAAAATTATTGCACTTAAAGACGAGTTTTATAATAGGTAAGTAATGTGGAACAATGTTCAAATACCGTAA